AAATGCCCTGTGCCACCCGTCTGTCCCCTTGCTCTCTACACACCCAACAGTACAATAGGCTGCACTCAGTCAACCTGTAACTTGTGTAGTGGCCTCTGTAGGTGAGCAGAGCAGTGAGACCTGGGGAGCTGCCTGGTTTCTCCAGGGTACTGGCTGAGGCTTGAGGGACGGGGCTTCTTGAAGAGCAGTAAGAGACTAGTTCCATTGAGAAGATTTTATTGATATTGAGCCCAACTCTCCCTTAATTTCATTCTATTGCTCTTACGTCTATCCCTGGGGAGTAGGGTGCTTTATGGAGAGCTCACTGGCTGAAACCTGCTGGGGATTGTACAGTGGAAAGGACTTTTTGGTGGTTTTTAAACATGTAGGTAAAGGACTAGGCATTGATGGCTGCTGCTTCCAAATCAGAAGAGCTGAGATTCTCTGGCAGAAACAGCTGGCTATGGCCTGAACTCATGGATTGGAGCAGATATAGGGAGCCCTGGCATCTGGCCACCAATTAAATATTGTCCTCCTCCTAGTCTGAATAAATCATGGTAAGGAACAGAGGTTCCATTTTCATACAATCATGCAAAACTTTTTTTAACTGAATATACAACACACCCCACAATTTGCCTTGTTTTAAAATAGCTCCAGTTACTTGGGGGTGACGAGCTTCGTGACGCTCTGAAAGTCGGCATCAAACTTTTTAAAAATGAATTGGTCACACACAATGAAGTAAGGGATGAATAGCAGGTTGGGGAGGTGCTGTGCCGCTGGTCCTCTTGGCTGCGTAACTCGCTTGTTTGTAAGCAAATGTGGGACACTGTGGATGACAGCCCTGAAAATGTATTCATGCAGGAACCTCAAAGTGCTGCAGGATGGCAAAAGAAAGGGCTATTGCCATCACCAGCAGCCTCATGATTCTACAGGGCTGACGCAAATAACTTTCAGTGCCAAGAGTGAGAAAACCCCAAATCTGCATGGAGCAATTTGAGACAAAAAACAAGCCACATCCCATAAAATGAGGGTCAGTCGAGCGGTGTCTCTGAGCAAACCTTCTTAGTTTTAAAGCATGAACAGGTGCTGGGTCTCTGCTCTCACCACCCCCTCTAATCATCCAGAGGGAAGTGCTGCCAGCGGAAGGAAACCCTGGATCTCTTTAGAGTGTCGGCATGACCTTGTTGGACTCCACCGGGATTAATCAGAGGAGTCGTTTGAGTCAGCAGGTTTCCACACTTGGGGCACCAAATGCAACCGAGACTTATGCAAATATTAGAACGTGTGTGTGGGAGAGAATCTCTCACTGGCAACAAACCAGCTCTGAGCACGTGCAGGAGGCTGTAACATTTCGCCCTCAGCTCTGAAGTGTGCAGTGCAGGGTTCCCCATCATTGCAATGCTCTGCCATTCAATAGCAGTGATTAGCATATATGCATTTCAAAAACATCCTTTTCTCCAACTCCCCCCCCCCCCCCCCCAAGCTACAGGTCTTTACTTTCAAAGCCCTTGACAGCCTCTCCCCACCCCACCCATCATCAGTCATTTGCTACTGGGAGATCAGCTCTGCCTCCATTGCCCACTTGTTACATTTTCAAACAAGCCACTTTGTGCTCTCTCCCTCCCTCCCCCATTGCCCCTCAGGTTTGGAGTTGCTCCCCCTGAATATAAACAGTGCTACCTCATTGTCCGCCTTGAGTTCCTCCCTTAAAACTCTCCTTTTCTGTGATGCCTATGACAAAAACCCTTAAATTCGACCTCTGGTGTGCTGAGACCACTTCTTATCATGCAGCCCAATATTATCTCCTCGTGTCTGTCTCTATCCATGTGTTGTCACTTGTTGCTCTTTGGGGCAGGGACCCTCTCTGTGTTGTGTTTGTACAGTGCCTAGCACAGAGGGCTTCGGTATGCAGTAATGCAAGTAACAAGGTTTTGCACCAAAACAGTAATTCCTGCTTTGCTAAATCCAGGTTATCACCAGGCACCATTGTCCTTAAAAGGTCAAAGAGATGAAATGGCATGGGCCAACTCCTCAGCTAGTGTAGATCAGAGTGCTGTTACTCACTTCCAATTACACCAGCCGAGGATCTGGTTCTGGCCCCAGGCTGGTAGCTTGGTGCATGCATTGGAGAACTAGGCTCTGACACATTTACAAGTAGACTGGTGACAGGTGACTGATATGTTTCCTGATGCTGCAGTACGCCGATCAGTTCCCTTGGGAAGGGCAGCTGACTGGTCACATCTCTGTATTTTGGGAGGCTGCTTACCAGAGACCCTTTCTATGAGGAGTCTGGCTGAAGTAAAGCCCAAATATCCAGGGTGCTGTGGAGGCAGCATGTTCTCTCTCTAAGCAAGAGCTAGAGGATGGGAGGCCAAGGGCTAACCTGGAGTGGACTCCCAGCAGAACAGCTGGTTTGCTCGCTGTTTGAAATGCATCTTTAATTCAAGTCATGGCCTGGAATACAGCGGCCACGTGGTGAGCAGCGGGAGCCACTTACCCACAGAATAACCACAGGCAACAGGGAAAAGGGCTCTTCTTTTATACAAGGGAAAAGGGGATTTCAAGTGGGGTGTTACTCTGCGAAACTGGCCTTTTGGGGTCCTAGGTAGTCATTCTACCAGACTCCACGACTAAATGTGGTCAGGCTGCAAGTTAAAGCGAGGCCTTTAAACTTCCAGCCCTACTACCCCACCCCACCCCCAGATCAGAGAGTGGAGCTGGGGGCTTTCCTTATGTGCCGTCACCTGCAAGAGGTTTTACAGGCCAAATTCAACTCACAGCAACACCTGTGTAGTCACACGCAGGCTTGGAGCCTGGTACGCAGTTCTGCTGAGCACACATCCGAAGGAGCTGAATCCTGCTCATGCATCTGGAGCTTGGCTGGGGAGGCAGAGCTCAGAGTAAAAGCCATAAAAAGGTTCATGGTCACCACAGCAAGCGCACGTGACTCGGACCTCACCCAGGGAGCGGACGTGGGGAAGGGGGCCATGTTTGTATAAAACAGCAGGTACAAATGAGACTCACCGACCATCCCATCCCCTGGGAGCTGCTCCTGGGACAGCAGGCTCTCCTTCTGCACCCCTTGCTGACAGCCACTGGGGCCCTGGTCCACTTCTGCTTGCGGCTCGGCCCTCTGGCTGGGTCACGCATAGTCCCACTCCTTCCACGGTAAACCAAGGGTCCGACAAGTAGTCCACCAACCTCGCAGTGGGCCTTGGGTCTGACTCCAGTCCCACTAGTCCTTACACACGGCATCAGGGGACTTCATCGGTTCTCACCCCTTGTTGGGCCGGTTCTGCTCCACCTTCCTCAGTGGGCGGAGAGGGGAACCCAGGCCCTGCCTCTCCACTGGGTTCTGGTCCAGGGAGCCTTGAATCAGCAGTCAAGGCCTGACTACGCAGAGCCCTTGCTGTCTCTGTGGAATCTCTTCCTACGTTGCTGTCTTGGGCCTCTCTCCCAGCCTTTTCCCAGACTCTTGGTGTATCAGGTCCACTTTCTCCAAGCCTCTTCCCCAGACTCCCTGCAGAACTGCCTGCCTGCCAGCTGATTCTGCAGGAGGGGAGTTCTCTCCCCCTGGAAGGGCAGTCTCTGACCCAGCAAGCAATCCTGGGGCAGCCTCATTCCCTGCCACTGTCCTTCCCAACTGCCTTGGGCTCCCTGTTGCAGGCCTAGCTACCTTCAGGACGACTCTGGCTCCAGCCAAGCTTCCCTCCTTGAGTGAGAGCCACGCACCTGCTCTCCCTCCTAGCCAGCCACACCTGCCCCAGGTTCAGCCCTTTAATGCCTCCCTCTGGGCTTGACACACAGGGCAGGTGTAGCAGGGCAGGGTTGATTGAGCGCCTCCAGGCTCTCATTAACCCCTTCTGGCCCAGGGTGGGGTTGGTTCATCCCATCACTCTCCATTGAACTGGCCTCTTGAAGGAAAACTGCAGCGCCCGTTCATTTTTCTGTGCACACCAGGGCCAGCCGCATGAGCTGAGCAAACTCAGCTTCTGTGTTGGAGGCTAATGGTCCGTGTGAGCGTAGATTCATCTCTCTCTGAGACAGCCGGTGGAGAATATTTTTATATGACAGCAGAACTAGTTTTTACCTTTGAATCAGGTCTCTGGTTCCCCATAGCGGCTCCTTAGCGTCTTTGGTATTTGCTGAGCCAATAATCACTGGCTCAAATCCATGTAACCGATACCGGGAGCTGTTTTACATGAGCATTCAGCTCTCAGACTGTTTGATCTTACCCAGCTACACGCAAAGAGTGGTAGTATCAGCATTTCAGCAAGGGGGGGGGGTCTAAGTCAGGCAGCAGTTTCTGATTCAGCTGCAGCAAATGAAAGCACAAGATGTAGATGACCAGAATTGATGATCAGATTAAGCTTTGTTCCCGTGGGGCGGCAGGTGAATAGCGCTCAGCACAGGTGCTGGAATTAGGGGTGCTGGAGGTGCTGCTGCACCCTCCCCCCCCCTCCCCCCCGGCTTGAAGTGGTTTCCATGATATCCAGGGTTTACAGTTTGGTTCAATGGCTCTCAGCCCCCCCCACGATACACATTGATCCAGCGCCCCTGGCAATCAGGATGCGAAATGGTTTTTGTGCCATTGGGCGAGCTGGAGACACCAGCACATTGGCCTGGATGCAGGGGACCATTTGTGATCTCCACTCCAGAGGGGCCTTATTGGCAGACGCTAGTTCTTGGTGGAGCTTTCCCCTTTTGGGGCTTTGCACATAGGTGGACTGTGCTGAGCCAAAGAAAAGACACCCACGAGAAAGAGAAGTAGCATCGTGCTCTCCAGCACCCTGCCCCAAGTCAGGAATGGACACAAGCTGGAACCCCAAATGCCCTGCAGCGCCCGCTTCTGGGAAGGTGCTGGGCACGAGCAGACTCCAAATGACCGGGGCTGTGGTCACACTTTGACAACACTCGGCTTGTGTGTGTGTGTGTGAGACAGACACGCGTGTACAAACTCAGGGGTTAACTTCCACTCTGCCCACAATCAACAGCTGTCAGCTATGTAACGACCAGATGCATTTAAATCAGCAAAAAGCTTTTATTGTTTTCTCCCATTTCAGCCACCAGCCAAACGGATTGTAAGGGCTGTTTGTGGAGAAGGCAGGACAAGCAAGAGGCAGGCTGCAGCGGCTGTTTCTGCAGGAGGAAGAGGGAAGAGCAGTCGTAGCTTTCACTTTGGATAGAAGAATGAAAGTGCTCCCCCAACAGCTGTCACCGCACCTTTGGTAGCAAGAGAAAGTCCTGCAGCACCTGAGAGGAAACGGAGGAAATTTTACCCCAGTTCATTAGGTCTCCTAGCAGGCCAGTTAACCCCTGCCATTGGTGCATCAATTTCCAACAAAGCTCCTGCCAGCACAATCTGACTGGGGGCACAACAAAACAAATAACCCTCCTTAGTTTTTGGCATGGATGTAATTGATTACGTTCTTAAATCGGCCTGCCGTCACCCAGGATTAGTAAGACAGCTGTGTGCTTTGTTCACCTGTCTTCACAGAACACATTGGAATCTGCGTTCCTCTAGCTTGGGTCATTTATGTCTAATGCAGAATAGTGAGTGAGTCCAGTCCAAAGCTAGAGTGGAGTTAATCACGTCTGGCTTTCTTTTGCCATAACCTTGAAGGGCCTTCTGTGGATTTATATGAGTAACCGCAGCTACTTTCTAATCCCTTCCCCTTCCCCTCACTCCCTTCTCCTGGGCACTTAGAAAACCAAAGCACTTTCGTTCAAGCATCTGCTTGTTTCTGTTCCGCTGCACTGTAGTGGCAGCCGAGTGGAATGGCACGTACACCCAGTTCGGTGTTGGGATGTGGCTAGCGTCCCTGGCTTAATTTCTCCTGGCTGGCTAGAGTGGTGAGCTTGAGGAAGCATGCCCCACGGCAATGTGGAATTCCACCTCTTGCCTGACAGCATTTGCAGCTAGAGGTCCTGCATCGGCGGGTCTACACTATGTAAGAAGATCGTGAACAGGATCCTAGGTGAGTGCAGGATAAGGCCAGTGCTAGTTAGGCAGTGAGCCCAGGTCCCCACTAGTCAGACCACCGATAACAGTATAGTTTGGAGGACCATACGCGCCGGGAGGAGCAGAGCTCATTTGCCAAGACAGTGGAGGGACAGTTCTTCTTTACATGCAAGAGAAGTGAGAGCAAACGTGGAAATACTAAGATCATCTTTCACTGCAGAATTGTTTGCCAGTCCTAAGATCAGACACGGATGCGTACGAATGAAGCTCAGCTCCTAATGCCTGCGAGACTTACCCACGGATTGCAGCACTGCCACAGTACTTCCAGCGGCTACCCCTCCTCCATTGGCTACGGCCGCTGCTGACATCATCTTGGCAGCAAGGGTCCCAGGTGCAATGCCTGCACCAGTAAAGCCTGCTGCCCCGAGTGCTCCTGGGACAGCAACGGTGGCAACTCCTGCATGACAAAAAGTGCTGCGATGTTAATTACAAAATGGGATCCCAGAGCACCGCATCTCCAGCTTCGGTCCCCAGAGCCACCCCCAGACCGACTCCCTCGCTGCTTCAATTGCTCATGCTCTGAACCACCACCCACGGCTCCATTTGTGCAGTGGCAAAATTCACTACAGGGCTTGAACATTTCCAAGCAAACTTGCTGCAAGCAGAAGTCCAAAGGAGTTGTCTCCAGCCACTCTCCCTGCTCTCCTGTGAGCGCCTGCAGCTTTGCGTGGCTTGGGGCAGGCACAGGCCATAAGGGCCAACATATCCTCAGTAGGCGAGACCCCTGTGCTTCGGGAGAGCAGATGAGCCAAGTAAACCCAAGGCAAAATAAATCTCAGTTACAATCTCAAGTGTTTTGCAATATTGACCCACTGTCCTGAGCTTGCAACTTACCTAATCCAACAGTTGCTCCAACAGCAATGGGGATAAATCCTAGGAAAGGAGATGTTTATAGTAGTGAGCCATCAAAGACTTTAGCAGATGATCAGCAGATAAGAATAGAAAGGGGGAGAGGCCTGTGCCGCAGTAACCTGGATTTTGTTTGAAAGTTCTCTGCCTCTAAACATGCTGGATTCCACTTTGCCATCATCTTTGAGCATTTCTACTCGATAGTGAGCCATGTACTCAATGCTCCACTCTGGGAAAGGCTCTTTCATTCTCTTGATTTAAGAGCACTGACCACCCCCAGGGCTCCTGGTAGGGTGACCAGACAGCAAGTGTAAAAAATCGGGATGGGGGGAGGTACCTATATAAGACAAAGCCCCCAAAACCTGGACTGTCCCTATAAAATCGGGACCTCTGGTCACCCTAGCTCCCGGTGAGGCCAGCAAGGCTGGGAAGATGGCTTCTGGGATCCTCAGGGCCGTGTAGGCACAGCAGTGAAAAGGGAAATAAAGTTTCAGATGCTCCAAAAGGGATATTTTAAAGGATCAAATAAAGGAGAACCAAGGGAGCAGTGAGATCAGTGGAAGGACTCCTGATTTACACTGCTGTACCTCACCAGACTCTGGCCCGCTCCCGGTCTTTCCAAGCGAATGCTTGTCACAGGAAGCCTTTCTCTGCCTCAGTTCAATGGCAAATAGATCCTTACGCAAGCCGCGCTGTATGAACAGACCACTGGGCTGCATTAGAAGAGCAAGTTTCCTGGGCCTGCCCATGTACATAGGAATTGACAAACTGGATCAGACCCGAGGTCCATCTCTGTCCAGAATCCTGTCTCTTACAGGGGCTGGAACCAGACGCATGAGAAGACCGTGCAAGAACCCTTGTTCTGGGCTTGTGGGGTTACTGGCTGCCTGCACAATACACGGATACAAAAACAACAAGGAGTCCGGTGGCACCTTAAAGACTAACAGATTTATTTGGGGAAGAAGTGAGGTTTTTTACCCACGAAAGCTTATGCCCAAATAAATCTGTTAGTCTTTAAGGTGCCCTCGGACTCCTTGTTGTTTTTGTGGATACCGACTAACACGGCTCCTCCCGATACAATACACGGGCGCATTAGTGGTGCCTGCGACGGAGGCCGTTCCTGGTCAAAGCTCAGTTAGTGAAAGAGAAGGACCTTACCAACCATGACTGAGACTCTGACCCACACACCCTGATCACTGGGATAGCAGCTCCGCTTCGTCAGCCCTGAGCAAAAAGCCAGAAAAACACTTAGATCAGTTCTAAGACTCCACCCACGCCCCGTGCCTCAGGGCCGGTGCCAGAGGCCTGGGGTTATGTCCGCAGCAGATAGGGCAGCTCCCGCCTAGCAAACGCCCAGGGAGGTGTCCCAGAGCCACTAACACAAGAGAGCATCAGCACAGGCCCCTTCCTTTGTGGAGCCTGAGCTAATAGCTGGGGTAACCCCACCTGCACCCCATCCTCCTCCTGCATAGCTGGTCCCCCCATGGAGGGTGTGGGATCTTCTCACGGACAAGTGAACTCCTAGCTGCAAGGAGTCATGCCCAGTGCACGTGTGGGGAGCACAGATCTGCTGGGGAGCAGCACACGCATCAAAAAATTCTAGAGTAACACCCACATCCCAGCCCCTCTGTCTGCTCTTCCCTTCCCCTGCCTGGACTGTCACCACCTCAGCATAGGGTCGTCTTTGCCCCTGTCTCCTTCCCTCGCCCCCTTGGCATGTGTGAATTCCTCCCCTTCTATAGCAGCTGCCGTGTAAACTGGAATGAGGCTTCTAAAAACCATATAATAAGCCAGCTGGGGGAAAAGCCCTGCCGGTCCCTATGTGGGTGAAGCCAGCCAATCGCTGCGCTCTCGAATGGACTCACGCATGAAAATGATTAAAGACAAAACATGCTATCACCTGGGGGGCAAACGCTTCTCACTAAAGGCTCCCTCTGTTGTGATCTCTCTGTCTCAGGCCTTGTCCTCAAAGGAAACCAGCACAGCACCCTCAAAAGACAAGCCTGGAAGCTGAAATTCATAATTTTGCTAGACACTAAAAATCCTGGGCTTAATAAAGACACTGGATTTCTGGCTTATGACAACAATCCGTAACCCACTCACCCCTTTGTCCCATGACCGCCGGGGTGTTAAACGGGCCACATCACCTGGACTGGTCCTTTAGACTAGGTGTCAACTCCGTATTCTAAACAATCTGTGCTACCTTGCCTTTAGCTGTGACACTCGGAGTACCTGTCCCAGGTCTGACGAAGAGCTCTGTGTAGCTCGAAAGCTCATCTCTCACACCCACAGGAGTTGGGCCAGTAAGAGCTATTACTTCACCCACCTTGTCTCCCCTAAAAGCTGGTAGAAGACAGAGATTCAGACGCTTTGACAAAGGATTTGCCCCCCTCTCAGCTGTAGCTACGCAAGCTCTAACAGGGCTTCTCTACGCTGATTGGCCCAAACAGAAGGCCCGCTTACAGCTGTGTGCGTAAACAACACAGGAAACGAAACTGATTTCTTAGGTTTCTATTTTCCAGCCCAAGTTGGACTTTATTCAGCCCTGAAAGAATCTTTCTTCCAAAGCCCGATTAGTAACATGAATCAGGAACGCTGGGCCTTCAAATTAGGATTTCATTTAAAGGCATCAGTCCCTTTCCGGCAGTTCGTCTTTCAGGGACTGTCTATAAATGACATAACATAGTTTGGTGATTTTTGCCAAGACCCACTGACCCATCCACCCCTTGTAACACTGAAACAAACAAGCAAAATTAAGCCCCCTCCCCAATGCTTTATGTAATTTATAGACATCCCCTCACTTCCCCTTGACTCATCACCCACAGCATGCAAATGCCCTAGCCCTGGGCAGATTTAGAAGAGGTATGTCAGTGCTGTTACAATGAAGGGTCTCTTGCCCTCAGAGCAGCAGCAACTTACCTCCAGCGTCCAGTGAGCAGAATGAATTGATTGCTGTGCAATGCAGCTGTATCAGGAGCCCAGTTTCCAGGCGTCTGCCACTACATGGGTGTGTGTGCAGAGAGGACGTCGCATCCCCCACTAATAGCAGGGATGGCAAGATCCCACGCCCTGCTCCCCTTTAACCTCCCTGCCGCTGGACACATGGACTCTGGAGCATCTGCATGTTAACATTCTTAGGGCACAAATAGATAAAACCACTTGAAGTGCCTCCCCTTGTGATCCAGACCCAGGTGGTACAGTCCTTCTATGCCAAGACAGCAAACCCCATCCTTGCCACATCCTAGCCGGGCAGAGTCCCACCCACCCGTCTCCTGGCCCAAGAAACAGTCTGTAGATATAAGCTGCAAAACAACGGACCCCACCCTGGGGTGCCGCCCTCTTCTGTGCGGCTGTAGAGTGGATAGAGGGGACCTCTGTGGTTTAAAATTCTGCTTGGTTGCGTTTTTTTTGCTTGTTACATTAGCCTAGACGATTCAGTGGTCAAGGTGAACTAGTGAAATGGTGACATCACAAGAGGCTGAAAGGTGTGTAATTAGGAGGGATTTTTAGTGACATGGCCCAAAACTCTGTTTCCGATTTGATTTTAATACCCACGTAACTCTGATGTCTGGGCTAGACAGAGAATGGTTTCATCCTGGTTTGAGCCTGTCACAGTAATGGGGGATTGGAGGACCGGCTGCAGCAATCCACTCCCCGAGGGCCCTAGTAGCAGGAGTTGCTTTTGTTAGAGCTTTATTGCATGTCTTAGAGCAGAGTCATCAAGAAACAAGAAGGACAGTCAGCAGAGGTGGCAGCTCTCTACCGAGTAACCCGCCACTGAGCTAGGAATGGCTAGCCGTAGCCACGTTGAGTGGCCACAAGATTAAACCCCAGGCTTATTGCAAAGCCGGCTCAGAGGAGGATGCTGGATGGATCCGAGAGATTCTAGCTCTTTTTTCACTTTGACAACACTTTGCTTTGGTCCTGGCAATACACTGGCGTGAAGGTGTGTGTGCACATTCGGTGAGCTATTTTGCACTGACACACAATCAGCCATAACAACTCAGGGCATTTAAATTTGCAAAAGTTTATTGATTTGTCACATTTCAGCCAACAGCAATAATTCAGCCATAATCCCAACAGAACTTGATGTCTGGTGTTGAGAAGGTAGAACAAGCAACAGACGTGCGGGATCTGTTTCTACAGGCCACTTGTTTTTGCATTCAACTACAAAGCCATTTCTCTAACTTGCTACTTGTTGCATTAGCCTGATGGTGCAATTGAAAAACTGCCAGCGGACGAGTCGTTGCGTCTTCTAGAGCATAAAGGAGCAGTTGTAGCTTTCAGACTAAGGCACCGACTGCTGCCCCAACACCTACTATCACAGCTTTGGCAGCTGCAGGAAGGCCTGCGGCACCTGAGAGGAAACAGAGAATCAGCTAGTCAGTATCACGACGCTGCTAGCAGGCCAGTTATCCCCCTCCCATGTCCTGGCACTATAGAAGTCATGACGCTTTCTGTATGGATGCAATAGGTTACACTGTTGCTTGGTAGTAGAGTCCCTTTTACCAGGCGCCAAGAGGCCAGTTCTGTACTTTGCTGCCCTGCCCTGATGGTGCAGCCTTGAACAGGAGTGGGATTTTCAAACAGGGCACTAACACTATTCCCCTTAAGGTCAATGGGGCGCATCCCCAGGGAGAACAGAGTGAGGTGGGTGAACCCTGAGCGCCTCTGAAGATCCCAACTGTTCCTCTACAACAATGGAAGCGAGCCATGGTACGGAGTGAGCAGCTAGCCAGAGGGATAGTGAAGAGAGAAGCAAGAGCATATTGCATCTAAGTGCTTAGCAGTTTATTAGCAGGGTCTGTGGGGAGCAGGTTTGGCCAGTCAGGGGAGAGACTTATTCCTCATTAAATGCAAGAGAAATCAGAACCACCACAGAAATGTCAGACTCTCTCCATGCAGGGTTGTTCATAAGGCAGGAGAGCACTACCAGACACACATGCATTTCAGTGAAAGGTTAGCTCCCCATTACTTACCAATGGATTGCAGCACTGCCACAACACTTCCAGCCGCTACCCCTCCTCCATTGGCTATGGCCGCTGCTGACATCATCTTGGCAGCAAGGGTCCCAGCTGCAATGCCTGCACCAGTAAAGCCGACTGCCCCGAGTACTACCGGGATCCCAACGCATGCCACGCCTGCATTCATGACACAGCGAGGTTAAGCACAGTCCAGGCTCCTACAGCAATTGCTTCTGCAGCAGAGCCAGCCCTCCATGAACCTGCATCCGTCCACCCGCCCAGCTCCTCTCCTGGGTGGTCCAATGGATCGTGGGGTTAGCAACCAGGAAGGGCGACAGGGTCAGAGCCATATGCGAACCACGCCCTGAACTGAACTTTCGCTAATCTGCAAAGCCAGCCCTAGCCGGGTGCACAAGTGGAGCTCAGAAGCAGCATCTTGCCTTCCTAGCTCTGCTCAGCAGAGTGCATTGATGCTACAGGACCTTGCTGTATCCCCGTGGGGCCGGTCGCCCCCTGAAAGGACAGCACCGGGGCAATGGCTGGGGATGGAGCTCTCACCAAGGGCACGTACTGTACAAGGAAGGCCTAGGCTCAGTATAGCCCAGTATGAACTGTGGGCTTGCAGGGTTTCAAAGGGATTGTCTCCAGCCCCTTTCCCTGCTCCCACGGCCCCCGACCTTGCGGCCTCATGTGGGCTGGGGAAGAAGTCAAGCTGACAGGGGCCGAGTTCTTGCTCTCCACAGGTCAATAACATCGGATGCCTGACTCTCCTGAGGTTCATTCACACTAGGAGGGGCAGCTGGTGAACCAGGAGAGTCCCTGGCCGAATAGACTCAGAGAATCTCAGGGTCGGAAGGGACCTCCGGAGGTATCTAGTCCATCCCCCTTCAATAAGTCTTTGATAAGTACAGCTGTCAAGTGTCAACCAAGCAGTGCCATGGGTTAGCCCCTTACCTGCTGCAACGCCTGCTCCAGCCAAAGTAATAAGACTGTCTAGGGAATGAGAATCTGATGTTAGTGGCCCAGCAAAGACATTCGCATGCTATAAACACGTAACCATGCAAAGCTGGGGAGGTCGGTGCCCTTAGTGAGCCCCAGGGTTGTTTTTTTTTATTCGAACCTCGGCATCTAAAGCAGCTGGAGTGCCTGTGTCCAATGTGAAGGGTTTGATAAGGAGAGCGAGGCTGGGGAATTACCTGATGGGTTCCCTGTCTCTGTAAAGCAGCATCTCACTGGCCAGGAGGCTGCGGCCGAGGTCAGGGAAGCCATGAAGAGCCTCCGCACAATGTAACCAAGGGTCAGAATAGCAGAGCAAGAGGGAAGGGATTTGGGGATGCTCCAGTCTGTTGCAAAAGGAACATTTCAAAAAGAAATGGCTCTGAAGTCTCCACCCCATCCGGGGCCCGCCCCAGCCATCCGTGGGAGCAGGGCCGCCCTGGAGACTGTTTGCCCTGTGGTGGTGATGAGTCCAAAGCAGATTCGCCTCAGTACTGCCAGCGCCAGGTAGAAGGAACCCAGCCAGTGAGGCTAGTTCTGAATTGTTCTCTTCATGCCACAGGCAGACACGTCCTCACGCGCTGGGGCTGCACGGGAAGTGTCCAGGGCCTCCCCCTGTTCTGGCTTTCGAGGGGTGGCTGGCTGCCAGCACGGCGTGGTGACTTCGTCGGGGAGCAATTCTTGTTCAAGGCGCAGGTAAATAAAAGGCTCTCACCAAGCATGTTTGCTGCGTGTGGCTCTGAGTCTGTCACCTGGGTATCGTTGGCCCTGCACAGAAAGTGGGAAACGCAGTTAGTCCAGTTCCGAGCACCCTCCCAAATACAGCCCCTGGGGGCCAGTGCCGCGGGTGTGGGGCTACCCGTGTAATTGCTGGTGTTTGTACATGCCCCAGTGTCACTAACTAGACCTCAGTTCCTTCCCCACGTGCAGCCAGAGCTAGTGTCCAGGGGTAACCCATTCTCACAGCTGATCTGCAAGCTGTCTCGCCAAACCCCATTGCCCTCCTAGCCACCCCCCCCACTTGGCTCTCGTGAGTGCACCCCTCACGTGTGGGATGCATCGCTCTGTGCTAGCACACATCCAGCCTCGCTCTCTGCCCAGACTGTCCCCACCCATGCAAGACCTGCCCTCGCTGCGCCATGCTAAGGGGGTTGCCTCTCACCCCTCTCATTCTTGGGCAGATTGTAATTTAAATTCTTGCTGAACATTTCCCCTCCGGCTGGGGGTGCAGGCTCTGGGGTAGGGCTGGGGATGAGGAGTTTGGGGTGTAGGAGGGTGATCTAGGCTGGGATTGAGGGGTTCGGAGGGCAGGTGGGGGATCGGGGCAGGGCCTTGGGGTGTGGGAAGGGATGCAGGCTCCATTTGGGGGTGTGGGCTCTGGGGTAGGGCTGGGAATGAGAGGTTTGGGGTGCAGGAGGGTGCTTTGGGCTGGGATCGAGGGGTTCGGAGGGCGGGAGGGGGATCAGGGCTGGGGCAGGGGGTTGGAGCGTGGGGAGAGGCTCAGGGGTGCAGGCGCTGGGTGGCGCTTACTTCAAGCAGCTCCCGAAAGCAGCATGTCCCTTCTCTGGCTCCTACGCAGAGGCGTGGCCAGGTGGCTCTGCACGCTGCCCCACAGGCACCGCCCTTGCAGCTCCCATTGGAGCACTGGAGGGGCCATTGGAGCGAGGCCATTGGAGCATGTAGGAGCCGGAGGGGGGCCATGCTGCGGCTTCTGGGAGACATGTGGAGTGGCCCCGACCCTGCTCCCCGACTGGAGTGCCAGAATGGAGCAAGCCCCAAACCCCGCTCCCCAGTGGGAGCTTGAGGGCCGGCTTAAAGCAGCTGGCGGGCCAGATTCAGCCCGCGGGCCATTGTTTGCTCACCCCTGCCCTAACTGCCCTGCAATTTCGCTGTACTAACCTCCTCCATCCGTGCTCTCCCTCCGCTGTGCATTAGCGAGAGACTCAAAGGAAACAGCTTTCAGATCCTCCTGCCTTGAACCCTTCCAGACTATTTTTTCAAACAGTGCTGTTCACTGCCCCCACCCAGTCCCAGAAGATTGTCTGAGACCGACTCAAATGCATCCACTAAGAATTTTCAAAGCTCTCTGCACTTAAGTTAGACTTGGGAGGCTCTTCAGGGGGTACTCACGTGAAATTTGGCCCAAAATCAAAGACAACCCTTCCCTCCTCCCGCCCCCCAGAAAAACAAACCAAACCAAACCCCACAATTCAAGAGCATTGGAGAAGTTTGCATAATCACTGAGGACAGGCAGGTGAAAGAGGATCCCTAGGTTTCAATTTCCCAGCCCAAGCTGCGAGAAACGAAAGTAAAAGCAAACTTGGACTTAAAAAAATACAGTAGAACCTCAGAGTTCCGACCCCCCTGGGAACGGGGGCTGTGTGTAACGCTGAAATGTTCAGAACTCTGAACTAAACGTTATGGTCGGTCTTTCAAAAGTTTACAACTGAACATTGACTTAATACAGCTTTGAAACGTCACGATGCAGAAGGAAAAATGCTGCTTTTAACCATCTTAATTTAAATGAAACAAGCACAGAAATAGTTTCCTGATCTTGTCACATTTTTTTTTTTTTTAAACTTTCCCTTTTTGTTAGTAGTTTACATGTCCCACGGCACGGTACTGTAATTGCTTTTGTTTGTCTCTGCTGCTGCCTGATTGCGTATTTCTGGTTCCAAATAAAGTGTGCGGTTTGACTGGTCAGCTCGTAACTCTGAGGTTCTACTGTACGAGGTTTCTTAGAAGTGCGGCTAAGCACGGGAAGGAAATCAGATTACGAACGGGGAAGTTACTTTGTTGGAAGCCTTCGTTCCACATCTGTTATAAATATCGTCTGCCCCAGGGAGAGCATCACAGAGATAAGGTTGGCAGAATTAAATTTTTAAAAATAAATTAACAAACAATATTGTTTTTTAAATGTGTCTATTTAAATGGTCACAGTTGTGCAAAATTGTGGGTTTTAAGCATTTTTATAGATTTAAATTTTCACCGTTGCAGAAAATTATTGGGGATGGGCAGGCAACTGGGGTGGGGGGTGTGTGTGTGTGAGTCAATAATTTTTTAATGGCAGAAGACGTAATTCAAAAAGTTAAAGCCTTATAACCGTTACGACGAATTGTCAACATCACATATCAAAATACACCTCTACCTCGATATAACGCGACCCGATATAACACGAATTCGGATATAACGCGGTAAAGCAGTGCTCCGGGGGGGCGGGGGGGCGCGCTCCAGCGGATCAAAGCAAGTTCGATATAACGCGGTTTCACCTACAACGCGGTAAGATTTTTTGGCTCCCGAGGACAGCGTTCTATCGGGGTAGAGGTGTATACAAAGTAAATAAATATCCTTCATTCAAACGCTAAGTTCTCCAGCAGCATTTGTCTTGCTTTGCCTATCCATAAACTTCAGTTATTGGAAATAGTTTTGGTGGGGGTGCCTATGAGGCAATCCACATTTACCAATAAAAATCTAACCCTTCCAGTCCTAGTTAGGAGCCACCTGAAGCCCAGGCAAAGTTAAAAATGTTACTTATGTTATGGGGGGAAAGAGTAAAATGTATGGAGCTGTGGGTTCCTGTCATTTTCAATTTGTTTGTTTTTAGCAAATGCAACCTCCCACCATTGCAAGGTAAAATTCTCTCATCAATAGAGCAGCAGCTTACCTTCAGCGTTGGGGCAGAGGACTGGTCCACCCTCCAAGGGACGTCGCTATATATAGGGAGCACTGGACCCAGCTATATACAGTGAACCAGCTTTTGGGTGGGTGTCTAGACCGCAGGACAAGCAGCCCACCCCAAAGGCAGGGGAAATGCCAGGGTCCCCGCGCTCCCTTTTAAACACAGGTTTAGGGAGGATTCACTTGTGAGCAGTCAAAGTGTGCTCAACCCCTCGCCCCCCCTCCAAATCCTCGCCCCTGAGATTCACAGCCAGATGGTACAGTCTGTGTGCAAAACGAAAAACATTTTCTGAAAGTTTCCTGTCCTGCTCATGGGTCCAAGGGAGATGCTTATAACCACCTCCGACGCTCCCTAGGGCTTTGACTCTCCCCACATCAATTTCAAACTAACCAGTTTGTCCATTTAAAACCAGCTTTATTGTTTTCACACACACCCCCACCATAATCAGAGCAGCTCAACAACCGTTAAAGAGAAGGCAGAACAAGCGACACGTTTGCAGTAGCTTTTCCCAGGCAACAACGAAGTAATTACCACCCCACATCACATAGCTTGCTGCATTGGCCCCGCTTTGCAGCTTAAGGGTTTCCAGGACTGGTCAGTGTCTACTTCAGATGCCAGCAGGACTTGCATAGCTTTCATTTATGCTTAGAGAACCAGGAGCCAACAGCCGCACCTACAGATCCTAGTGCAGTGCCCAGCCCAACTTTAGCACCTAGCGAGAGTCCTACAGCACCTGCAAGGAATCAGAGGAACAGCTAGTCAGTATTACTACATTGCACGAGTCCCTTGACTCTCCTAGAGGAGTGAAATCTGCTCTTAGTAGTGTAAGTCCAGAGAGACTCCAGAGACTAGTGGAGTCACTCTGGATTTGCACTAGCATGACTGAGAATAGAATCTAGCCCAGAGCCACCAGCTAACCCCTGCCCCTGGCCTCTGCTGATAAGGGATAGACTGCCAGTGAAATCTGAGAATTAACCCTTAATGCTTTCTGCACTGACACAACGGACTCTGCTATTTTAAGGCCGCTGGGTGCAGTCTTCTTTCTTCCCAAGAGCTGCAAGACACGTGTGGGTTGATCACCTGTTGATCTGTGCGCCTCTGCCTTGGTTCATTTGCATCACCCATTATTGGAGGAGTCCCTGATCAGGGGTACAGTGACCCTAGTACTGTATTTATTACGAATCTGCCAGGGTTTTAGCTCTCGCCTCTCCCCCTCACGACTCCTTCCTAGAGGAAATCAATCCTTTGAGTGTCTAAAGCCAAACATGTGGGTTAGTTCTTGTTCCTGCGGTGACCTGAGCACGCACCCCAGTGCAATGTTGGGATACGTACAGCATCCTTGCCTTAATTTCTGATGGCTTGAGCTGTGGATTCAAGAAAGCACCTCCCTTCCATCCCTCCCACCCCCATGGCAATCGGGACTTCCACCTTTAGATGCAAATGCTGGAAGGCATGGAGCACCGGGGCCTGGCCTGACAGTTTAACAGAAGTTATAAAGCTATACTTGGTAAAATACTGAATACACAACGTGATCAATGCTACTTATTTCGATGAGGTCAGGCCCAGGCTACCCAGACCACCACCATCACCAGCATACTGTTGAGTACACGCAGCACTGCCCCTGCAGGTCACGTGTTAGCAAAGTCAGCCGGTCACACGTTAGCAACACATTTGGTCAAACAATATAGAGACAGACTTTGCTCTTCCTTCTAAAGGAAAATCAGAGCTTGTGTGGCAGTGGCAGGATCGCAAGGCAGGAGAGCACCAGACACGGGTCTGAATGAGGCTTCACCTCGTAGGCTTACCCGCTGATTGCAGTGTGGCCACAAGGCTCCCAGCAGCCACTCCTCCTCCGTTGGCGATGGCAGCTGCTGACATCATCTTGGCAGCGAACGACCCAGCTGCAATGCCTGCTCCAGTAAAGCCTGCTGCCCAGATTGCTACTGGGGCCCCAATGACTGCAAGTCCTGCGTTAGAGACACTGCCGTGTTAAGCAGAGCATTGGCTGGTAGGCCAGGTCTAATAATTGGTATAACTACATAAAAAAATTCACACCCTAAGCAATGTACTTCTACTGACCTAACCCCCCAGTGTAGACAGCTAGGGCCGCATTAGACTTGCCAGGGCCCCGGGCAGAAGCTAAGGAGCCGAAGCCCGAGTTCTGCCATGCGGGGCTGAAGCCGAAACCCGATCATGTAACTTAGCTTTGCCAGGCCCCCTGTGGCGTGGGGCCCCAGGCAATGCCCTGCTTGCTACCCCCTAACGCCAGCTCTGTAGACAGCACTATGTCAAGAGGGGAGCTTCTCCCATCGACACAGCTCCTGCCTCTCGCGGAGGTGGGTGAACTCCGGCAATGGGAGAAGCTCTCCCGTCGGTGTAGTAGCACCTTCACTAAAGCGCTACAGCAGCACCGGTGTATGTGTAGACAAGCCCTTAGACTGGCTCCAGCCAGAACGTCCATGAACCAGCTCCCACCCACAGCTCCCACCAAGCTGCATGTCCTGACCTAGACTCCCAGGAAGGGCTACAGGGAGACTCAACCCAGGCAAGGCAGATCACTGGAACCAGCATGGCTAGGACACCCCATGCCTGGAGAGCCGTCCAGTTCTGCAGAATAGACTCAGCCCCCCATGGGCACACACACGAGTTCAGATACAGATTTCTGCTCCCCAGGCCAGTGACTCCACTCTTCCTCTGGAGCCGCTGCCCACTCACTGGGATAGAGTCAAGCAGCCAATGAGGTGTCCCTGCTCCCTACAGGCCAGCATGTTCACGCATCTGGAGTCTCTTTGCCACCACTCAGCATGACACCTGCACAGTCTGCAGGGGGAGAAGCTGTGCCACAAAAAACTCTGGATGAATTAAGTGCTTTGACTTAGCCCCTTACCTATTCCGACACCTGCTCCAATTGCTGCTTTCATTGCTTTGCTTCTGGATTCTAGGGAAGGAGAAGATTTGCATCACTACAATGAGATCAGCACATTTTAAACACACACGTGGAGGAAGAAGCCAGCTCCTGGTGCAGCCACCTCCACGGTCCAGGCTTGTTTCTAAATCGCTGTCTAAATTTGCTGGATTTTGCTCTGCTACAATGATCAGCAAGTACTTCCACACAAAGCAGGCACTTCCAACAGGACACATTTACCCAGCAGATCCACTTCCTGAAGGGTTCCTTTGTCCTCTTTGTTTAGGAAGGTCTCTGACCAGCCCAGAGGAGGAGACTGGGGCAGCAGGAGTGGGAAGATTGTACTCTACTGGCATTCCAGAAATGGTGGTCCAGGTAAAAGCAGCAGAGGAAAGAGGCAGAGAGTTTCAGATGCTGCAGAAAATACATTACCAGTAGCACTGGATTCTAACCCATACTGAGCACACTCTCCATGAACATCACTCGGAGCGGAGGCCTTCTGTCCTTACACACTTAAAGCAGATTTGCCTCAGTATTGTCTGCTCTGAGGGGTGAAGTAACCATCCACTTAGACCAGCTTAGAATGGTTTTTCTTCCAGCTGTCCCAACAAATTCACCCCACCACTGGTTTCTGCTGTGGAAGTGTATCTACTCTACAGAGCTGCCTTGACTGACCCTATCTCAGTGAACTTCTCCTGATTCAGGATAACATGCGACAGCGTGACCATGCCATAAGCCAACAAGTGTGTGCTGCGGCAGGCTGTGACTCCCTGTGTCCGCACTAGCACTGCATCCATTTGTGTTACGCTAAGGCTTCTGGGAGTGTGTCCCAGGGTGCACAGCATCACTACAAACTGCACCACTCTCCCTAGGCATCGTGGGAGAACTCTGCTCCTCGCCAGGCAGGGATCAGAGACTGCAAAGATCTAAAACCTGGAAACTCCCAAGATCCACCTAGTTCCAGGAAGCCAGGAGGTGTGGTGGCATGGATCCTGCACAGAGCAATGACACACTGCTGCTAGTAGCAGTTTTTATAGAGCTACTGACGTCTTGGCGAGAGGCAAGAGAAGCAGGTACAGCCGAAAGCAGCAGTAGGTGTCCCAGTAACAGTCTTGCTCAGAGAATGGCAAGGTGTGATGTTGACAGGAGAATGTGTCAGTTACATGCAGAGCTTCAGGAGACAACTAAGAAGATAAAGGGAATGCTTTAGACTGAGTGGGTTCAAGAATCTGAATCTTTACAGGCTACTTTCTACTAGACTTCCAGACCCTGGCAATGAGAGGTGACCTCTACTCTCACGTTTGCTTTGTATGATGGAGACAATAGTGATTTATAGATGCTAGGGCAAACGGCTCTGTTTTGGTACATCTCGTGAACAAACCAGCATAAGAAAGCTCATTAATTGAATACATGCAAAAGCCAATTTTTTTTTTCTTCTAAAATGTGAGGTCTTCCTGGAGAGGGATGTTTCAAAACCCTTTCTAGTGAAGGATTAGCAGCCGGATTGTCATCGTCAGTATGCAACAGAACTTGAAAAGTGCCAGGTAGTTCAGTATGACCAGATGAAAGGGAAGGAGCAGTTTAAATGTTAGTGGTGGTTACTCACTGACAGCAGCAATGCGAATGCTCTTGCTGAATTCTGCAAGTCAAGCTCTCGACAGGCACTGGTGTGCTAAATGCAGCTGGCAGATGTCTCAGCCAAAGATTATTTATTTTACAATTTTTTTTTAAAAAAAGCAGCAGATTTGGGCATGCTAAAATGTGCAGATTTGTGTGGCTTTCACAGAATTGTGTGTGTCAAAATGTCAAGAGTCAAAGATGTTTTGACTTTTTAGTTCCACACAATTTTGTTTGTTTAAAAATATAAAGAAAACTCAATAAGAACAAATGTCTCATTCATCCCGAAAACAAACATTTTGCAACTTTTAAATCCACTGATATTTTAAAACAAAAACAAACAAAAGAAAAACAAACCACACACCACCTGGATTTTGGCTCAAACCCTTCTCCCAAAGCAAAAAAAAAAACAAAACAAAAAAAAGGAGTTTTTGAATTGCCAGGATACTGAGAAACCCACCCGGCTCTCAACACCAAGTGGCATGGAGCCTGTGACAGAAAGTAGGTGTTTTAATCAGATACAGGTAGTGAAATTACACATCAGAATAAGGTCTCTCTTTCCCTCCCCTGCACTGGGCGTGAATGCATGGGGTACCACTGCTGTGACATTAGCACATCTGCCTTCCTCATAGCACAGAGGGGATGTCATAGGAGCAGGACTAACGTGTTGTGCACCAGGGAGGTGTTGCCTCATTCCTGACCTTTGGCCATGCTCCCTTCTGCTGCCTGCTTGGCTAACCTTGAACGCTTACGGTGACATGTGGATACAGGATGGGTGCCTGGTTTATGAGCAGAGATTAAATAACTAACTGTGCACTGGTGAACATGCAAAAACCCTGCACTGCTTTGCTTAGTGTGCTATAAAGAGACAATCCAACTGGGTCCTGCTTTTGAGGGGGCTAATTTCACAACAGGAGACTGTGGTTGAACCAGAGCTCCTTTGCCCTCGGCAGTCTGCTAATGGTTTTTCACCCCACCCCACCCCACCCCACTTCAGATCCATCTGGGGATGTGCGTGCTGGAGCGGGAGAGGGTGAAAGCTGGAAGTTACTGCCCACCAGGGAAGCTGTATCTGTCATTAGTCATTATTCCCACCTCTTTGTTCATAGTGTCGCCCCCCCTACCCCCATAACAAGTAATGCCAGTGCACGTCCCCCATAGGCATGGTCAGCACGGGGACTTACTGGGCTCTGGTTCTGATTCTGGTTCCTTCTGTGTCCGTCTCAGCCTGTTCCTCTTGGTTCGGCGCCTGCTCAAACAGCTCCTCTGCCTCCTGGGAAGGATCTCCGGCTGGAGGCGATTCCGTCTCAGGCCAAGGCAGGGCCAAAGCAGCAGGTGCCCGTTCCGCACATGGCGATTCACCCGCCTTGGCCTCCATCTCTGGATCAGAGACCAGAACTGGCAGCTGCGGATCGAGGACCTGCATGGCCAACGTGACCTGATTGTGAACTTCAAGGCAGGGTCACTGCTTGCAAGTTGCAAATGGGAATCAGTGGAGGCCAGTGGGGAGATTCCAGCGGGATTGTGGGAAGGCATAGGAGGACTGCTTTGCATCAATGGTTAAGTTGTGGTGATAACCTTTGGCAACACTGGTGCTCTGCTGGGCCCACAGGCATCCTGGCCACCTACAAACTACAGTAACTCCTCACTTAACGTTGTAGTTACGTTCCTGAGAAATGCAACTTTAAGCGAAATGATGTTAAGTGAATCCAATTTCCCTATAAGAATTAATGTAAATAGGGGGGGTTAGGTTCCAGGGAATTTTTTTTTTGCCAGACAAAAGACATTATATATATATATACACACTGTATAAGTTTTAAACAAACAATTGAATACTGTACACAGCAATGCTGATTGTGAAGCTTGGTTGAGGTGGTGAAGTCAGAGGGTGGGATATTTCCCAGGGGATGCCTTACTGCTAAATGATGAACTAGCACTCGGCTGAGCCCTCAAGGGTTAACACATTGTTAATGTAGCCTCTCACTCTACAAGGCAGCACGAATGGAGGGAGCAGACACAATAGACGCATGGCAGAGGCTGCAAACATTCCCTGCGGAACCTGAACGTGATGATGAACCCAGGCTATCCCGCTGGAGCGCACCACTCCCTCCACTTTCCAAAGTGACGAGTGGTGCGTGTGTCTGTGAGACAGAGATCCATCTGACAATGTCACACATCAGCCCAGGGGAAGGTTCAGGTGAGCAAATCCCTCCCCTCCAGGATCCAACCTCAGTGTCCCTGTCTGCTCAGGATCCAGCTCCGTCAGTTCCCACTGAGCGAGTACGTGCTTTCTGGGGCACCCACGCACACCAATGCTATTATCACAACCGGGCACTGGCACGGACAGGTAGGACAGCTCACCTGCACCCCACATCTCTCCCTGCACAACTCCCTGCCCCAGCTCATTGTTATCATAGTCCTGCCACTGGGCGGCTAACGCTTGGCACGGCTAGTAGAGTGAAGTGCCATTTGGTTGCAAGGAACCACAGCTCTATTGGAGGGGGCTCTGATAACACCCCCAGCCCCCGTCCTTTCTGCTCTCTTCTCTCCCTGCTAGGCTTAGAAAAACATGTCAGGACAAAGCGACACGTTACAGTGTGATGCTTCAGCGGGGCAGCCCAAGAGGAAGGAATGACCCCCACTCCCCTCCACGGGTGGCATTCGCAAGCGGCTCCGCCTCTGTAGCAGCAGGTGCGTGAACTGGGCATGGTGCTCATGACATCTCAACTGCGCAACCAGGGCGGCACTTGGCCCCCTCCCTGCCCTGGGTACGTGACTCAGCTGTGCTTGGGCTCCCACACGCCCGGCAAGGCTGGAACAAGGAGCTTTAAGGTGGCTGCAGAAGCCTTTTTTTTTTTTTTTTGAGTTGTGAACACCTCAACTGCTAGCAGAGCACCTCATCCTCCCTGATTGAACTAACCTCGTTATCTCCATACTGATTTATACCTGCCTCTGGAGATTTCCATTACTTGCATCTGAAGAAGTGAGGTTCTTACCCACGAAAGCTTATGCTCCCAATACTTCTGTTAGTCTTAAAGGTGCCACAGGACCCTCTGTTGCTTTTTACAGATTCAGACTAACACGGCTCCCCCTCTGATACTTGATACTGCTTCTGGCACTTTAAAGGGACAGCAGGAAGCCAGGCCTTTAAGATGAAATTTGCAAACTGCCTGCAATCCACATGGAGTAAAAATAACCCTACACAACCCAGTTTCATCAGGGCAAGTGAAACACGGACAACCAGTCCACGCCAAAAGCCAGAGGTGGACGGGTGGGTGTAGGAGACAGACATGCTGTAACAGCACAAGGATCCTTTAGATGTGTCACAACTCAGGTTTGGCCTCAAGGGTAGACACCAGAGTCTGCTACAAAACCCAAGCCCATTGGAGAAGTTTGCACAGACCCTACAGCCTTGATAACAAACCTGACTGCATTAGCTCCTGCTTCCCAGCCCATCTCAGGGGAGAACACCCACAGGAAATGGTACAGCCAATGCAAGGCAGAACTGGATTCAAAACGCTGTTTCAGGTTTAATAATTAAAGGCAGTATTAGTAACTTGGGATAAGGAAATCTGTCTGCTTAAAATAAGGTGTAAGAGGGTCCCTTTCACACACAAGACAGTTAGTTCGCCTTCCATTTCTGTTTAAAATAGTCTCCCTTCCAAACAGCCTTGCTCAGAAGATGCCCCAGCCCCAGATGGAATTAGCTAGGCCACTTGATCGTTGCAAATTTCACTTACCGCTAGAGCAGCTGGTCACTGAAGAGAAAACACTCCAGCTATATACAGGGAGCCCAGCACCCAGCTACAGGGAGTCGGCTTTTATGTGGGTGTCTACGGACAGAGGAATATGCAACCCATCCCAAAGGCCAAGTAAATCATTAGGGAACCCCACCCCTTTAACCTCTCCCTGCTTTACACAGAATTATCAGGACTTATTTATCATTAATGTCCTTAGCACACAAACCCTCCCTCCCCTCTCGAACCTCTCCCCCCTGTGACCAGATGGTATAGTCCATATATGTTCTGATCAGGTGTTTAATTCCAAGGTTGGGCACTATATAGTGAGTGATTAAGGCGGTAGCTGTCTGCCCAATAAACATGGTGCAAAGGTGGCCTGCAAAGTGAAAGGAACATGGTGCTTTGTTTTCGTTCTTTATGGCGGATAAAAAGAGCTAAGAGGATTACAAATTCTGCATGGGTTTTTTTTTACGTTAGAAATTAAGGTCTTGTTTAGCCTACGTGCAACTGGAAAATGAGTGAAATGGTGACAGTGCAAGAGGGCAACCGTTTAGCAATCAAGAGAGGAAAAGATTTCGAGTCAGACTGCTTAAGACTTGGTTTGATGTTAATTCTCTATTTAACTCTATTGTCCAATAAGCACTTTGGAGAAAGGACATCTTTAAAGATTCAGCACCCCCCCACCTCTTTAGTTAAATGTAGGCTCCAACCCATGGTCCATCTCGTCCAGTATCCTGTCTCCAACAGTAACCAGCCCCAGATTCCTCAGAGAAGGGGACAAGAAACCCTGTAGCAGGCTGATGTGGGATACATTGCCCCACAGGAAGTTCTCATCCGAACCCCTAATAGTTAGAGACTGGCTTGAGCCCTGAAGCAGGAGGTTTTCTTATCAAAACTCTCCGTTTTAGCATTATCTATGTTAGCTCTGTAGATTTCTGTTTCAATTCTCCTTTGTGAGGGTCCTGGTCTCAACAACCTCCTGTGGCAGTGAGTTCCACAGTCCAATTAAGTGTTGAACGAAAGACACGAGGCAGTTCCCAGCATATATCCCTGAGAGCCCCAGGGAGTCCTCCAGTGATACCATCACAGCCGATCTTGACACGGCTGATATTTCTAAGGTTAAAAATAAAAAGCGGGCAGACGGAGTAGGGGAGAACCCTTTCAGGCCATCTCTATCCACTGTCAAGAACTGAAAAAGGAACATAAACCAAACTTTGAAACTCCCGTTGCAGGTCACCATTAAATTCCTTTAGAGCTTTCCCTGTTTGAGATCCTGGGTAATCCAAGCTGCCAGGTCAAAAGCTGAAGCTAGCTACTAACCCTGATCCTGCATACGCCCCTCAACATAGGTTTAGCTTTTGTAAGGAGTCCCAGAGGAGGGGTCCCTTGGCAAAGGGAGAGATCTTACCCCAAACCACTGTCCTCCAATGACTCTGGGCGCTCCTGTCTTCCTGCCCCAGGGGAAGGCGAACGAGCTGGATCCTATTAAAATACCCTGGTGCCTCCAAGCCGCCCCATTCTCCCACGTCTCGTTCTTCCCAAGCATAGCAGGCCCGTAAGACACATGTACAGAGCATGCCGCACACGCGTGCTGTCCGTTGCCTGGTGAGGCTGGCGTATGCGCCACTGCAGCTGGTTGAAGGGGACCAAATCCAGTTCCAAGTTGATCTGGTTCCTTTTTACCAGCCCCAGGGACACACTCTCTCCAGGGCCCAGTCCCACGTCGGGGCTTCTGTCCCCACCAGACGAGTATGAGCCCGTGGTCTTCCTCCAGTGGTGGTGTGCAGACCCTGTCCTGAGCCGGTGCCTGCAGGACGTGAGGACCCCAGCCCAAAGATACATACTTCTTAACATTCCATAACGCCAGCTGACTCCCTATGGGCATATGAAGAAGTATGTAGGGTTGGGAGGGAGGGGCTGCTCCTCCAGGCCGTGCACCCGGCAGCCCCCATTGGTGCTTGGCTTGCTGCTGTCATCCCCTAAGCTGGGTGAGTTGGGCCTCTAGCTGCGCGGGCAGGATGGGGGGGGGTGTATGAAAATAATTTTCTGGGCCCTTGCTGGGGTGCTGAGGCCCCGAGGGGCAAGCCCTCACGTGTACCGGCTCCCTGCAGCATGCACGGGGCTCGCCAGCCAGGGTCAGCACCTACCACCATCTCAAGGCTGCCTTCCAGTGCTCCTCCTGGACTGGACAAACCCCATCTCCTGGAGACTCCGAGGCAGCTGCTCCCTCTTCCCCCTTGTTCCAGCTCCTGCCCTGGGAGGCCCGTTCTGGACCCTGAAAAGAGAATGCAACGAAACAGCAGCTTTAGAGACTGGGGGAAAAGGGGGGCTCTGTCCCTTTGCCCTGTTTTGTGAGCACCCTCGGGGCAGGAGGGAGCCGGGAGCGCCTGATGGCGGGGCCGCCCCCCACCCTGAAATGGCGAGTGCCCTTGGGCTCACGCTGGAGGTGGGGGGTGTTGGGGCTGTTGTATCCCCCCCTCGAGCACAAAGCTCTCAACAAAGCCACATGGGAGACTGAGGGGCAAACCCAGGGCCTGTGCCCCTCAGATCTGGCTCTGGCATGTCTCTGGCTGATCAGGCTCCACCCTGTGGTGCTGATTCACTCTGCCAGGCTGCCAGCCTCCGGGCTGCACTGGGGAGGATGGGGGAGCTGCAGAGGGTCCAGGCCTAGGAAACAGGGCAAATAATGAAGGGAATCGGCCCTGGAGACCCTGCTCCAAACTCCTCCCAAAGTACTTGTGGTTAGGGAGCCTCGCTGCGCCGATTTTGCCCATCCCTTGTTCCCAGTCTCCATCCCATGTTCCTTTCTGTCTGCCCACCGGGGCCAGCCCCTTCCCCTCTCTGTGCCTCAGTTTCTCTCTCTGTAAAACGAGGATCACAGGTTTCTTGCTGTCCCAAGTGGCATTTTGTCAGGCTTCATTCAACGGTTGCAAAGCACTATGGGATCCTCCGCTGGCAGGTGCTATACAAATGCAAAGGAGTTCTACAGCCTGGCTGCTGCCATGGGTGTGGGTGTGTCAGTGCGTGCACACACGTGTGCATGGATGTGTAGGAAATGTGCACCGCTGCCCTCCGTTGAATAGAATCAGACTGCTGCAACGTGTTTCATTGTCCCTATAGCGCTAACACTCAAAGACGTTTAGGCCTGCGCTTTCAGAGCAAGATTGAGTTCTATCCCCGACCCTGAGAGCGGCTGCAATGCACAGGATGGCGTCCAAGGTCCCGAACCGGTCAGAGATTGGTTGCAGCGTGTATGACCTTCTCCCCACCATCTCCATTCAACGTCACTTCCCCAAAGTGATCCGGCTACATTAAAACCCTTCTCTGAACCAGCCTCATTTTTCATGGGACGACGACATGTTTTTACCAACCACGCTAAAAGCTCCACGTCCCACCAGCTCCTCTCCGCTCAGGAACGTTATTCATTTGTCAGCTCTCAATGCTATTGATTCCTTCCCGGTGGCGGAGCGGGGAGGGCAAGCGAGTCGGGTTGTAAAGGCAGAGAAAGAGGGAACGTCTCCTGCGTAACCTCTCCAGGCTGCCAGGGCACCTCTGGCCCGAGCGGCACTGACTGTAACTGGAGCTACATCAAGGCGAGTACGTTACCCACCTGGGGACGAGGGGGGCAGGATGGGCTTGGCTGAAACAACGGCGGTGAGACGTGCTTGGAGTCTGACGTTTGCCTGTGGGAGAGGCTGGGGGGGAAGGGCTTAGGGGTGGGGAATGACTGGCTACAGAGACCCTCTCGGTCATGAGTTCAAATCCAGCAGTGAGCTGCAGCTTGGAACATCGTACCATCCCAGTGAGCGTGCAAAATGAGGCGCTTAGTAGAGACAGGAGGGTCATCCTAACTGGGCTCTGGGCAGGTGGCTTATGCTAGTGTTACAGGCGTGCGCCGTCTGCACAGCTGTAAATAGACACGGTGCCAGCAGATGGCGCTCTGGAACATGCAGCCTGGTGCCTGGGTTTTGGGGGCCAATCAGACTTGCCGTCGGGTCCGTTAGGCGCTGATCTAACGAGCGGGGACTCCCAACAGACACCCGGTTACTTCCAGGGTGTTCTCGCGTGCCTGTTTCACTGTCATTCACGCTAATTCTCTGCCTTTCATGGGAGCAGCTCGAAGCACTTTGCCTGTGTCATTAACTAACTAAGCTTTGCAGCACACCTCCCAGGGAGATGTAGGCCTCATCCAACACTGCAGTGAGTGCGGCCACCTCTGGGGCAGAACACAGCAGCAGCTCGGCAATACAGGGCATCCCCGCTCAGTGGTTTAGAACCGGAAGTAAAGAGATGGACTTTCTAGAAATGGCAGGGGAGCCGGGAGCTGTTTGGCTGGCTGCAGTGGCTCTGTGAGATGAGCTGGAGGCGCTGGATGCAATTCGTAGTGGCCCATCCCATCCGTTGGCCGCCACAGCAGAGAGGCTGTGAATTTACTGAGCCAGCGACTGGACTTCCCGCCAGACGTAAAGGGGCTGCCTCCTGGCCCAGGGGCGAGTGGCCTGCACTGTCCCTGCCACGACTGCACCTGCAGAGCTGGGGTTGCAGGGCTGGCACCGCTCATCGGCATGAGAAACAAACCTCGTCCATTTCTGTCCAGGGCCGGGGGCGGCCGAGGGGCCTTGGCTGCGTTTGACTCAAATGGCAGAGGAACAGCTTGGGCAGCCAAAGAGACTCCTGGAGGCTCGAGGGCTCAGGGTTGCCGTTGGGCTGGCTGAGGGTCCAAGCAAATTGTCTCTCCCCACAGCGGGAGGAGGAGCTGCTTCCCCGAGCCAGGGAGAGGAGGGGGAGCCCTGCCCCTGCCCCTGCCGTTAGCTGGGCTCCCCCCGTTCCAGGCCTTGCTCTCTCTCTCTCATCGTGGCTCCTTACAGAATGCGGGGGCAGGCCAGGGTTAAGGGGCAGCAGATACTGTATCTTCAGGGGAGGACAAACAGTGTGAGGAAGCTGCACTTCCCTGCGCAGCCAGGGAGCCGGGGGCTGGAGCAGGGGCTAGGGTGACCCCCGGGAAAGCAAAGGGATGAATTCAGTTCTCCCAAAATCAAGGGACAGAGCCAGCTACAGAGCAGGGGTGTGCTGGCAAGCTCTGCCGATGCCCCTCAATCCCAACCCCTAGTCTCCTTCTATTCCAGCCCCTGGGCTCCCCTCACTCCCAGTTCTGCCAATGCCCCTCAACCCTGAGCCATAGTGCCCCTGCGACCCCAGTCCTGTGTCCCCCAGCTCTCCTGATACCCCTCAGTCCTGACCCACAGCCCCCTGCGACCCCAGGCCTGTGCCCCCCAGTTCTGCTGATACCCCTCAGTCCTGACCCACAGCCCCTGCTATTCCAACCCGGAGCCTCTCAGGGCACCTCTCGAATCCTGCTGAACTTCACAGTTCTGCAGGGGTGGGAGAAACCCACCACTAGGCCTTGGCTGAGCCCGGCAAACGCCCTCTGCTATCATACACGGCTGCCGATAACCTCGCCCCCTGCATGGCCTAATCCCCGCATGAGACCTCCTCTCCCTGAGGCAAAGGAGAGCAGGATGAAAATGTCGACTCGGCAGAACTGCTCCCTCGTTTCCCTAATGCACAGAGCAAGCGAAATCCAAGCCTGCGCTCAGCCCCCAGCTGGGGAGGCTGAGCAAGGGAGCAGGGACCTAGAAAGTCCTGGCGAGCGCTAAACTTCAGAGAAACAGGCTCTGTTTCAACCAGGAGCCAGGGGTGACTTGGGGGCTCCCGTCACGCAGCGGAGGCGGGGGTGGGGAGGGGTTTTCCCTGGTTCCAGTAATGAGCCAGTTTACACCTGTTTGACTGGACCCCAAATTGTCTCTGAGCCCAACACGGAGCTGACAAGCTCCTCCAGGTTCCCCTCCTGGCTCAGGAATCTTTGTACCGTGTGTCATTTGTGTCCTGGGCCGGGACCCTTTGGCCGAAGCAGAGCTGTAGCGAGATCCCCAGCCTGGTGGCAGGGCCACTGGCTTTCTCCTGGATGTTTTCACTCAGGATTCGTCCAGTCACTGCTGCTTATTCATAAAGGGGAAGGCCGGTCTGATGCTTAAAACACAGATCTGGGAGCTAGGACTCCTGGGTTCTTTTTTTCTGGCTCAGGGAAGGAGGGAAGTTTAATAGCCGGAGCAGGGAACTGGGTTCTCCTGTGTGGATCAGACAGAGCCCTTAGGATATTTAGCACCGTAGAGTTACCTAGTTGTAACCCAGAGGCTGAGATGACCATCGGACAATGTCACACCTCAGCCCAGGGGAAGGTTCAGGGGAGCAAATCCCTCCCCTCCAGGATCCAACCTCAGTGTCACTGTCTGCTCAGACATGACAACGATGAACCCCCCTGGCTGACTCTATAGGCGTTATAGACAGATTTATGGACTGGCTCCTCAGCGGGGGTGAATCAGCCGAGTTCCATCGGCGCCGGTGGGGCTCCGCTGCTTTACATTAGCTGAGTGTCTCTTCCTCTGGGCTGAGTTTTGACACCCTCAGCAGCCAGACGCTCCTGTCGTGACACTTTGGGGCAGATTTTCACAAGAGCCCCACACCCGGCGTGCGCCCAATGCGCTGGACTCTTTGGGAAATCTGGCCCACGTGCTAACGCGCTGGGTAGGGTTAGTGTTCCACTGAACAAGGACCCCAGATCTATCCACTGCTTGCATTGCAGACTGAAGAAGGAAAACATGGGTACGCCTACACTGGGGTCCCGGGGTGGGACATACCCGAGCCAGCTTTAATCCAACTAGCTCAGGGCCCGGAGCAGTGAAGCTGCAGCAGCAGGAGATTCAACCCACTCGGAACCCTGGCTAATAACTCGTAGGGCTGGCCCGCGCAGCTGTGGCTTCACTGCTCCACTACCTGAGCTAGCTAGATTAACGCTAGCGCGGGCCTGTCAGCCTGCACTCCAGTCACACCCCGTGTCTGTAGTTTAAACACATCCAGAGATTTACTACATGGGCTATTAGTAGCGTACTCCTGGCATGTTGCATACCGGAAGGCTTCTATGTTAACTGAAATTTGCACCTCCTTATAAGGTGGTTTCAGATGCATGCATCATGCTGAAAAGCAACTCCGCCTCCCCCCCTTTCTGCTCTCAACACCGAGCAGAAGACTGGTTTGCCAAACTGCACCAACAACCCAGGTTTCTCTCTTGTTGGCTAGGCAGAATGGGCTAGTCATGAAAGCACCAGAGGGGCATTCAAGAAATGTGGCGCCAGTTCCTAACTCCGCCACAGACTCTTGTGTGTGACCTTGGGCAAGTCATTTCACCTCTCTGTGCCAGGGTTCCCCATCTGTAACATGGGGAGGACGCTGCTGGGCGGGTGAAAGCTGGGCATGATTGTGAGGTGCTCAGATACTACGGTGGTGAGGGTCAGATCCATCCTCTGGCCTGGGTTATGCAGGAGATCAGACAAGATCTAATGATCTCTGCTGGCCTTAAATCAGAGCCCAGCTAGATAGGAATCTACGGTCTGAGCCGTCCAAATCACCGAGATTCCTGAACCGCTAGAAACCCAAGACTCATGTGTTAAACCAGCTCTTCTTGCTTCCACAGCCTAGGAAGGTTTGAAATACTGAATTTGAATTCTCTCTTTGACATCACGCCCAGGCGGGGCACATGGGGTGGGAGATTCATTTGCCTTCTTTCTTTCACTGCTTGCAAGGTTAAAAGTAAAAAAACAAAAACAAGAACCAACACCCCCAACCCCCACCACCCCGGCTCTGTTTTATTCAGGATGTGGGTGCAGGAAATATTTCATATTTCTTAAGGCTGCCTTAGTGAGGCGAAAGGCACACGTTTAACAGGGCTGGGGACCTATTTCTAGCTTCTCTTAGCTGTGAGATTATAAAAACCAGAACCCCCAATAACTATGTGTTTATTATCCTAACACAGACCTTGGCTCTGCCAGCCGGGGCGCTCAGGCCAGGAGAACAGAATTCAAAGCCCAAAACATTTCCTCTTTCTTTGCACAATTAACTCCTAGCGCAGGTCATTTTTTCTGCCGCAGTTGGTAACTATGAGAGATCCTGCCTCAGTCTGGCCAAGTGCTGTCTGCCGGGAGCACAACAAATGTTCCTGTGAGTCATGGCTCAGACACAGAGCTGTGTTAGCTCAGAGGCTGGGCTTGTGGTTAAGACACTACCTGGGGACTCAAGAGATCAGGGCTCAATTCCCAGCTCTGCCACTGCCTCTCTGTGTCACCCTGGGCCAACCACTTAGTCTCTCTGTGCCTCAGTTTCTCCCATCATTAAATGGGGATACTAGTTCTTCCTTTGTCTTGTAAGCACTTCAGGGCAGGGACTGTCCGTGTGTCTGTACAGCGCCTAGCACAACGGGGCCCTGATCGCAGCTGTAATACAAATAACAGCTGGAGGCGTTTGCAATCCCTGTGGCTTTCCCCCCAAAAAGTCTATTGGCCTTTTCCCAAAAATCTGTGCTGAGCCTTGGGAACTAGGCGTGAAATCCACAGCACCCTGTGACCCTCCAGACAGACAAATCGAGAGACTCTTTGTTCCAGAGAAAACCGGCTGCACCTTTTACCCCTAACTTTTGTGTAGACAATAGACCTCCATGGTTTGTCATAGACTCGACCCTAAGACCTTGGTGTCACGCTGTCGCACCCACTCCTCATTTAAAAAAAAATCAGTCAGTTTCACAACAGCCTTTCTAACTCCATCCCTTGCCTCCACTCGCTGTGTCACCCTGTGCCCCAGCCACTGCCCTGTTCTGTGCCTCAGTTTCCCCAGCTGTAAAATGGGTGGGGTGGTGGTGGAATGACTTAAACACCTACCTCTCAGGGATGACTTGAGGCTTCGGTTCCAATGCACTGTGGGATCCTCTTACAGCTGGGGCGCGAGCACCATGGCCCCACTCACTCGGCCTCTCGAGTGTTCTCCCTGTCAAAGCAACATTTGGAGTTCAATATTGAGGCTGGGGACGGCACCGGGGGCTCATGCTCCCCTCACATCCCGCGCTAGCCAAGGTCCCAATGTGGCGCCCATCACCGTAGTCTCTGAGCACCTCACAGCCTTAGCCTCCCAGCCCCCCCTCCTCCCATGAGGCTGGCAAGTGCTATTACCCCATATACAGGCCAGAGCAGGGATCTGACTGTTGCTCTGCCACATGCAGGCTAGAGTCCTAACCACTGGGCCCTCCTGCCTCTGCAGACACAGTGCGGCCTTTTGGGGTTCAGCCGCGAGGACAATCAGGCGCTGCAAGATCCCGGGGACTCACGCACCTCCTCCTCCCTAAGGGCCAGAACCTCAGTGGGTGTAAATC